CGCGCCCAGAAAAGACGCGATAAGGCGACCCCAGAAGTTGGATTGCCAGCCGCCGAACTAGCGGCTGGGTATAGACGTACCCTGAAAGGAATATCCACAGGACACTAAATAACTTGGGGATGGGGGGAAGGGAAAGGATGTGTTCCACTCATCACCCGGACTACTATGAAGCTATAGCATATTGTATCTTGTACTGTATCTTTTATATAATAATGTTTTTCAATTGTTTCAATCAGAATAAATGCTTGGGACAATCATTCCACATTTTTATGACTTCAAAAAGCAATGTCTTATATTGTCTTTAGGACAGAGAGGAGACACTTTAATACTTATCTTCTTTTTTTGCTGGTTGAAGTTATCAATGATAACACCAATAAACAAATTCAGGGTGAAAAACGATCCAAAAATGATAAAGATGACAAAATAGAGATACATGTATAGGTTGCCTTCATAGTCGGGTTGATCCAGTACCTACAAAACAAGTTTTGCACACAAAAAAAAATCAGCACTAATATTCCATGTCAACAATTCATTGAAAAATCAGCAATTCACAACATAAAGATCCAAAATACTTCTGTCCTGGGATAGTACCTTAGCGCTCTTACTATTTAATATATTTTTGCCCTGCACCTATTGAAATCAATGGGAGTTTTGCTATCAGTTTACAATAATTCATACTTAGCAGAATTTTTGCCATGCTCACTCACTCATTTTTGTTAAACTTAGAACTCAGAGTCTATACAAGGAAAAGAAGACTTTAGAACATATATTGTACTTACAGCTCTTGAATCAACAGCTGCATACATAATATCCATCCATCCTTTAAATGTAGCCTGTAAATGAGACACATGTTTGATATCTGTGTAAAAATATGGGTTCATGAAAATAGCTAGAGTCCAACATTTTATATAACTGTTTTCATCAACTACAGTACCAGGAATCTTTATATCACATTTAAATCATTGGTCTAATATAAGATTTATAGTTCAAGTTAATCTCTTGGCTTTCTTTAGAACTGCTTATCAAATACACTACTTATCAAATACACCACCATTATATCTGTATATGAGCAGTGGCATAGTAAGCAATTAGTATAACCATGAAATCATACATTTATAATTCCTAATCATCTACTACAAATTATAGTGTATGGTATCCATTTTAATGGAATAAATGCTCAGCAAATTCAGATGAGCAGATATAATGGCTACATACAACTGAGAAATACTAAGAAATAGCCTTCTTCTGTGACTCGGTTGCCACCAGCAAGGACCAATGAATAGTCCCTCATTATCATGTCAGTCAGGAAAGTGGCAACCAGTAGGAACCAAGCATGTTTAAGCCCTCCAACAAGGTACGTCTTTCCCTAACTCTCATTCCCAGTTTGATTCCTGCTTTGTCAATGGTCTAAAATTGTTCTCTCTGGTTTAGTGATTTTGTTTTTACTATAGTTATATTTTAGCATAAATTAAAACATGTTAGGTCTCTCACATATGTTCTTTATTGGGAAGCTACTGGAGGAAGAGAATACTGAACAGAAGATATGCACTATACGTGGCAAAGACTAAAGATGCACCATCTGTGGTAGCATTCTACGGACTTCTACAGCTGCTTCCTTCTGAGCATAAACCCTAACAGAGAGATGAAGACAGTAAGAGGAAGGACATCTCCAAGTAAGAATCAACATACTGAGATTTAATCCAAACACGCCTAGAGAGAAATGGAGGATTCAAGTAGTTCTGTAGTCTTTTTATGCCACCCATCATCATCTGCCGAAAAAAAAATGCAGGCACAGATCCCAGCCCAGAATAGGGAACCCCCTCTTTCATGATTATTGCTACCTCATTAGTTTCTTGACACCTAGTTAGTAGTGGGGTTATTGGAAAAACAAACTCTGCCCATGGAGCATATAAAGTGCAATACAGTTAGCAGCATCAGGAAATAGACCAATCAAAAGTGACTAAAGTACTGAAGAGACAAAGTGGGACCATTCATGATTAAAACAAAAATCAGTCCTGAAGCAGCATAGTTTTTAGACATGTAGGGTTGCCCTCAGGTGTATGTCTGGGAGGAGCAAGTTTTATACCTTAGGGGCCACCACAGTAAAGATTAGATCATGCTGACAATTTATGGCATGATGGTAAACAGGGCCAGCTCTAGGCACCAGCAAACCAAGCACATGCTTGGGGTGGCAGAATTCCAGGGGTGGCACTCTGGGTTGTTGTGTTTTTTGTTTTGTTTTTTTGCTTCGACAGTTACGCTCTCAGAGGTGTTTTTTGTTGTTGTTGCTTTTTTTGTATGCTTGGGGTGGCAAAAAACCTAGAGCCGGCCCTGATGGCAAAACCCCGAAAAGATCGTGTTAGAGTGCAGGTACTCATGAACATGACTGAAGTCTCAAAAATGGCCAGAGATTTTGAAACCAACATAACCATTTGAAAATCAGATCTGCCATCTTACACACTGGTGGAAAAATGCAGTGTGTCCATAATATGATCCCATCTGCTCAATCTGTTAAGCAGGCATACCTTTGAATTATGTACATGCTGGAAGTGGCGGAGGAGCCCTTCTGAATGGTGTGTTTTATTTTCTCTGATCCAAACACACACCACCTGAATCCTCATAAATGGTCTCCCAGACAGACTGGAATTATTTTTAATTATGTATGCATTTATATTATAATGAATATATTCATATTAACATAGATTAACTGGGAGAAGAGAAAATGGTTAATTTTATAATATTAAAATTAACCCTCTTACCCTCCTAACCCTCAATAAATAGATAAAAGAAAAAATGCAGATCTCCAACCACATCTGAGACAAGGGGAAAGAACTGAGGAACTCTCAAAGCCCATATAGTTAATTATTATTACATAAAAGAGCAACTTAAATAAAGAGAGGATGTGTAGAAGTTTCAAGGGGTGAGGATGGAGAAGCACTAACTATTAAATGCTACTTAATTGTAGTATCTTTAAAAAGAGCTGAAATAGAATCTGTATTCACTACACTAACACAATTTCACAAAGTCATATATAGAACATTACTGCTCCCAACAAGTGAAGAAAAAAACCCAGAAAAACAAATCAGAATTCCCAAGTAAAAAAATTAGGGAGAATGGGTTATGAACTGATACCTCGCTGGAATCCAATATGCTCCCTCACTGTAGTAGTTGGTTTCCTTTTGAATCCCTCAAGTGAGTCATCAGGAAACAATGAATTCAATCATCATCGTAAAAAAATATTTATGTTAATTGATATTGTGGGGAGAACAAACCCCCTTCCATCATTTCCCAAACTGGAAAGTTCACTTCAGTTACAGAAATCTTTTTCTTCAAGTCTGTGTTGCTCTGGAATAGTAGAATACATGTAGAGGAAATTCAGCACTAGGGTGCTGAAGTTAGTAAATGGATACAGCTCCTACTGAGGTTGATGCCAGCTTAAGTTAGACTTGAATTTGGCCTATAACGTTTTCCTCAAGAGAAGTAAAGCTTTACTTACATATTTCCAAAATTACTGTCTTTATCCCTACTGAATAAAATCAGAGTACAGGAGTCCAGAAATTTATCTCAGTTACACTGATGTAACTTGGCATAGCTCCAATGATTTCTCATTCACGCTGGAATAACTCCACTGATTTGAAAGTGGTTACTTTAGATTACACGAGTGTAGCTGAGATCAGAATCTGACCCAAACCATTCTGGCCAAAGAACCCAGATAAGCCTAAGTATAAATTTGAATGGAATTTAAATAACCCTCAAAAACAAACAAAAACAAAAACCAAACCCAACTTACTGTCAGCAAGACTGGATCAAATTTTTAGTGAAAACTGTAAGATCATACAGGTGTTATGCCACTCTATTCCTTTACTAAAGCCAAGCAACCTGAGATGATTTTTAGGAACATTTTCAAGTGTCTATTTTTGGGCAGAACTTTGCTTTTAATTAATATCCTGTTGGTGCTTTATAGCTGTCCACATCTGCCTGGTAGAACTGCATTTTATCATCCACACTTCAAAATTTCTGTTTTCTCCTCCTTTTTATCTACCTTGTAGCAAAAGAATCAATTCAGTATTTACCCTAATGGCTTGCAAAATTTTGACCAGAGAAGTGTCTCTTACCCCCAGGAGATTTACTTACCAGAGGAAATCCAAAATACTAGATTTCAGGTTTATACTTGTTACAAGAGAGCCATGCCACAAAGGAGATACTAGCAGATGCCCTTTATTTTCTCCCAACACCTCCCTCTCCTTCTCCACTTAGAGCTGCATGATAATTGGGAAGAAGGAGTTTCTCCAGCTTCGTCACTTCTCTTCAGGGATATAGAAAATCTTCACACAAGTTTAGACATCCTTCCCCCTCCCCCGACAAATCTCCTCCAAAAAACAAGTCATCCGCAGATTCACACAGACCAAAACCAGCTGTATTGGACCATAAAATGGAAAGTTTTGAACTAGTGGCGTCTTCAGAGCCTACATAGAATGAACATTGAAATGTCACGTAAAAAGATACAAACCCAAACTACAAATGTATTCTGGAAATTGTTCTTAGTCTCTGATCACCAAAGTCTTAATTGATATTTTCCAGGATTCTGTAAAACTGTTGGCACATATCATGAACCCATGTGTTTTAGCCAGAAAAACTTTATGGCTCTGCACTTGTACTAGGAAATTTCTCTTCTAAGGTTCTGATTTCTGTAGAGATAAACTAGACTGAAAGAATTCTTCATAAAACTCACCCAAGACAGATCCACAGATATTTTTATCAGCTCAGAAAAATCGACTGTGATTCAGAGGCAGTCTAAATTCAGAATTTACAGGGGTTTTTTTTCGGAAACTAGACCAGATCTTCTGGGTGTGCCACCTGTCTAGTGACTCAGACGAAGGATCTTTATAAAACTTCTATTTACTTTTCAGCATGACTCTCATAACAGAAATAATATTTATATTCAGAGAACATTAGAGATTAATCATGGATGAGAGGGCTAGGTCCTGATTTCGGAAAAAAAGTTTTGTTTTTTTATAGAAATCCTGTTCCTTCTTCCTTTAGCATTGTAATCTCCTCTATCCACACCTTCTCCATGATAAAAAGGAACTGTTTCTAGAATATCCTGCTCCAAACGGAAACCAGAAGAGATCTAAGGAAACAGGAATTTATTCCAGATTATCTACTGTCCAGAAAGGCTACAAGAACCTACAATATTTCTCTCCGAGAAAGATGTGACTCAGCTGGTTAAAAAAAATGGGTAATGCTAACAAAAAGATAGTTTGAAAAACAAAGCTCTTCTAATGCTACTGCCCTTCTGCAAAAAGGCACCTTTGTTGCATACTACAGGGCATGTCTACACTGCAATTAAAAACCCACGACTGGTCCGTGCCAACTGACTTGGGTTCACAGGCCTTGGGCTAAGGGGCTGTTTAATCATGTTGTAGATATTCGGGCTCAGGCTGTAGCCCGAGCTCTGGAACCCTCACAGGTCCTAGAGTCTGGGCTCCAGCCCGAGCCTCTATATCACAGTTAAACAACCCCTCAGCCCAAGCCCTTTAGCCCGAGTCAGCTGGCATGAGTCAGCTATGGGTTTTTAATTGCAGTGTATAGTTGATATGCCCCCATTAATGCTTATCACTTATCGCTAAGTTTGTCAGAAAAAGCAATGGTATTGCCCCCCATGTGGAAATTTCCACACTACTCAATAAAGCTTTTCCTTAGTTTCCTAGCAGCCTGAGCCAAAGCCCATTCATGTCAATGGAAAGCCTCACAATAACTTCAATCAGCTTTGGCTCAGACCGTTAGGGAGCCAGGGAAAGAACTCTTTTGACTCCTGTTGACTTCAGTGGGCTTCTGGTTCAGGAGTAAAGAATGCAGATAGTGGCTCTCCATAGAGCAGAGTGCAGATATGGCCCAAAGAGGAAGCACAGCAAGAATATTCTTTGACAATCACACTTTTGTATCTAGATTCCTCAGGATTAATGTTTTATCTTAAACCATTAGCCAAATGCACAATTCTCCCAAAAGCATTATCTATATTCATATAGATATATAAGCATAATTATGGGACTCAGCCAATCAATTCCTAGTATCTGTTCCTTTCAGATACCCTTTTTGTTGCTACATATTCAGTAGGAAGGGTAGATACACAAAAGTTCTGATATTTCCATCTTTTCTTCATCAAAGATCAAAGTAGTCTTAAGGCTCTGCCCTAGATTCTTGTCTAACATGATATCTCTTTTCCATATCAATTAGAAGATGGCTTTTTTAATTTCTGCTCTGATCAACAAAGCTATGTACAGAGCCCTGAAAAGCTACGTCTCTGAATCATGTTCTTCACTGTGTTCTTTAAGCCACATAATAAAAGGTTCTAATGTAGTAATTTGAAATTTACAAAAGGGATTTACAAGCACAAGTTCCACTGAAAGCCAATTAGACTTTTGCTCTCAAATCCTATAGGCACCTTTGAAAATTTCCCCTTATTGTGCTCTTATTGTTCCATGATTGCAAAATGGATATTATCACTTTATCGCACACATCTTCAAAGCTGTAGAGCTCCCTGTTCATTTTGTGGGCAGCCAGAAGAGACTCTTTGGTCAAGGAAATGAATAAACACAAATGTGCGCGCTCTCTCAATACTTTCTACAAGCTCTATATCAGAATGGAAAAAAGAAGTGGTGGCATTGCCCAAGTTCCATCCACAAACCAAGTTCCACACAGCAAGGTTTGCCTCCTTGAGATAACAGAATGAGACACTACTCTCAGTATATTGTGCAGATGTTCAAAATACGACCATGCATCTTCTGCTGGATCCTTGGGCCTGGCTCTCCCTCTCTGAGGTACCGGTACACCCATAGGCAGGACTGGAATAAGGCACAGGCAAAATAGGCTCACACCTATTACCCAAGCTCCCAGAGTCGTGCAATGGATTTAGAAATCTAAGTTTTCATTTAAAAAAAATGTTTCTAGCCCTCATGGTGACTCACAGACTTTAAGGTCAGAAGGGACTATCGTGATCATCTAGTCTGACCTCCTGCACATTGCAGGTCACAGAACCTCACCCACCCACTCCTGAAATAGACCCCTAACCTCTGGCT